ACGGGAACATTAGGCAACAACACGACTGAAGGTTGATTGCAACAAGATGAAAAATTGTACATATTAGTTCCAATCATGCGTTACGAAACATAACATCACGTCTTTACAATAGATAAGTATTTTGGATTACTCATTTATTTTATAGTTACTGAAGGCTGTCGCCATTGCCCGTGGACAGCCGCGTTTCCATTAAGGTGTGGCGACACCTATTCACCATTGGAAACAAGTTTGACTTGTCCTGAATCTCGAAAATATATTTACCGTAAAGCTCTTTGGGATAAAGAAACCATTTAATAACAATCATTTGAGACTATGGCTGTTTGTCTACTATGAACCTTATGTTACTGATGTAGGACTACTCTTTGCTATTTGATAATTATAAAAACATGAGGCGTGAAACTTAACGATTGCTGTATTACAAATGTACGCATGAACATAAGGAAGGGCAGTTTACTCGACAGTGCAATTAAATATCTACTATTTAAATAATAAAAAACTTAAAAGTAATCACCGTAGAAGTGGTGCGTTCCGGTATAGATGCCAATTTCGGTTTATGGAATGCATTTATTGATCGTTTGATATGTTATTAGCGTAAAAAGAGTATCAAAACGTCGATCCGAGTGTATCGAGACGCGGTTCATGAGGAGATGGTTAGGCCTCTTTAGATCATGTGCATAACATAGCATGGTCTTTAGAGCAAGACCGCCATAAAGCTTGATCGTAAGTTAAGTTTCTGAATTTATCAAAACTGGAGCCAGCCCTTGTCTAGTTCTGATCATAATCAGTTTGATTATATTTTATGGCTCTTCTACAGAGTTTGACATGCTCTAAGTTTCATAATAATTTGGAGTTCCTAATACATTCCATAAGATTGGGTGCGGTGAATTAGCCCATGGAAATGTGCGTGATGCAATCGAGAGCTGTCTACGACTTTAAGTTTATATTAAGCTTAATGGATTTTAGATGACCTTTACACTATTTAAAATGCATCATAATAATGTATAAGCTGATGTACGTTCAATATAAAACATTTTAATGTCTTCTATTAAAAGGAACAATTTTTCTTGCATATTTGTGGTTGGACCTGGTATATTTAGATACTATTTCAATAACAACTTTAAATCAAAAATGCTCTCATAATAAAAAACAAAATACTTAGATGCTACTGGATAAAATCTCAACAAGTTTAAACGACTTTGAAAACATATTCAAAGGACGTAAAATAAGCACCTGACTCACCGGCTTTAGGTCACACGGTCTAATACTCCCATTAAATTCACTTATAAATGGCTTTAAATCATACTTGGCTACAATAATATGAAACCGGTCAAGTGCGTTTTGAGCAACACAATGTGAAGTGGTTCTGTAGCCCAAAGGATAGGGAGTCGAGGTGTTATGTTGTTGTATGTATGGTTGTATTTTTTATTACAATTCCTCAGACACTATTAAGACCCAAGTTATTCATGAGGTCACCAAAAAAAAATAAGCGAGTATCTAAAAACATGATGTTACCCCAAATCTAGATATCATGGCCACGTATCTCATTCTTCTTTTTTTCACTCTTTTTTTTCTACCTATTAGCTGGTAGCCTAAGGAGCTATTCCAGCTATATTCTACTAAGCTGTCTAATCAATATGTAATAGGATAGTTAGATGGAGAAGACATTTCACGACTCTAGCAGATCCTATCCCTACATTGACATCAAAATTCACCAGAAAATCTTGACTCCATTTTTAAAGACTTGAATTTCAAGTCGTTTACTATTATTTTTTCTTTTCTTAATTACTTTACATTGTTTTAATAATCTCATTTATTTAAACGGGGTTTTCTTAAAGATACTCAACTCTTTTAAAAATTCGAAATTTGGGGTGTTTTATTTGTGTGTTTGTGTGTTTATATGTGTATTGTTATATTTTATTTGGGGGGGGGGGTACTTTATTTTTCTATTTTATGTTTATTTTCTTTTAGTTTAAACCTTTAACTAATAACCTCTGACTTAAAATATCTCAATGGTTGATTAAGACGTATTAAATAAATGAATAGGATTTTTAACTGGCTACGGAAGCCGAACAATGTTTTTCACACAACTCTTTTAATGTTCTTTTACCTAACCTTGGTAAAAACGAATCACTTCCTTAAAAATCCGCTACAATATTCCAATTGTGTTTTAAGTTAACGATATTACATCGCAATTTCAGAACGGACATCGTGAGGGTTAAATCGAGATATGTTATAGTTGTTTCCAAATTATTTTGTTAGATAAGATTATTGAATAATTTTAACGAACTTAGTGATTTCTCTTCAGTACCATATAGCATTCGTTATTTATAATACCCATGAATATTGTTCAGGTATTTGTTTCTTTGTAAGTCGCGGCTATTCACTCATCGACACCGGTAAGATTGAACCTCCTGGTTTTGGTAAAAAAAATTACGAATATATGTTCTCAAATCGATCAGGAATCAAAACCACAGAAGATCAAACTACAAAGTAATTATTTACCGTAAATTCAATTCCGTATCTATGCTGTATTGTCTGGAAGCTTCTCACATAAATTGCTCCCTATTACGCGAAATTACGACCACACCACAATGTTTGTAACTGTCTCGCCGCTCTTTATGTTATTCGCATTCCACACACGCACGTTCAAAAACGAAATCAACTTAACCGAATTCATGTGAAATTTGAGTACATTTCTAAAAAAATAATTCTGTTAACCAAACAAATTCAAGTATAAACGAAAGTAAGTGTATTTGTAGACATTCGACAGATCCGTCAGCAAGTGAACATTACTCATCAGAAATATATCAAGAAATGAATGTCCCGTTATTTCCTTAGTGTTATTAAAGTGAACATTTATTTCGCTGTCAAATATGCAAGTAACAGTTTGTATCATCACTGCTTTCATTTAATACAATAACAAATACAATATCATTAAACAGAACGAGGCGTCCGATTGACGCGCGCATCAAAAACTGGTTTCTTATTGTTGGCAAAGCGAAGAGGTTAACCCCAAAAAGTATAAACTTCCGAGTCTGCTAATGTTTACGATGTTTCAAAACCGTAACAAGACGGGACGCTCTACGGTTTTCAACATCTACAAAATTTGTAAACATGCAATAAAAAGTAATCAATTTGTTAATCTTAGTTTCTAGGACTTATCTTGACGTATTTTTTTAAGTATAGGCTCATTATAAATTGTAAATAAGTGATTCATGTGCGCAATGTTGTTAAAAAAATAAAATGAATCTTTGTCCGTCGGTATTTCTACCAAATAATGACTACAGTAGGTAATGCCCATCAAGAACTTGATTTTATTAAACAATCGTAATTATGTAAAAATAATAATTTAATATTCATTTCAAATACATTAAAGAAAGTAAACACCATTAATGACCAATTGGATAAATTAGTCTGAACATAATGGAATATTTATTTCACATGAGTGCTCATTATATTTCATACTTGATCAAGTGAGTTTGGTCTGTAATCGTATGTCCAATAAAATGTACTAAATAATATTTATTAAGTTTTTAGATTAATTTTAAAATTTTAGTTACATTTCGTTATTTAATAATTTACAGTTTTATTTCAAAGCCAATGTTTGAAAACCTTCCGAAAATCTTTAGCTAACGGTGCGCCAATGACATTCATAAACATATTTTATTGCTTTCAAATAAACACAGCCTCAAACAAGGCATTACAAGAGATCGTAAACGTAATATTTACATGTTCGGTCCTGTTGCTTTCTTCGAGTGACTAAAAACATAACATTTTAGCTCGAAATACACCGACGCGACGGGCGAGGTGCCTCGTATTTTAACAATGAATACGTTATGCACGTACACAACAAACGATTTCATTGAAACAAAGTGTCACGAAAATAACATTTCACATTTTTAGTAAAACAGGATTGTTAAGAACGCGATACCGTATCTGATGACCTTGAAGTCAAAACTCACTGCGACCGGTTGAATAATTGAGAATAGAACACGTAACCTGCAATCAGATTGAGTGCAATAATATTCAGATAGAGAATATCCAAGTTCCCCGACCTCAATCTGATAAAGTGTGAAGTTACAATTTAATTTCATTTAAAAAAACTTTGTCTTAGCTATTCAACGTTTGCACGAACGATTTAATTGACCCAAACATAGCAAACGATTTTGTTCACACGGAGATAATTAGCGAATAGAACTTATTATTAGCGAATAGAACTTAGAACTTATATCTCGCATATACGTTGTAGATGTCTATGGGCTCCAGTAACCACTTAACACCAGGTGGGCTGTGAGCTCGTCCACCCATCTAAGCAATATAAAAAAAAAAAGAATATAACTAAGGCTTGTGTGTTATTAATCTATTTAAATAGAGTAAGTAGACCAGAGCTTCAAGCGTTCCGGTTCGTGATAAAAACCTAATCTGTTAACATATTGTTACATGTCTTATCGTTAGCCTCATCTATGGGCGAGTCCATCGAGTTTGCATTCCGAACAATTGCTGTCTCTCTACCGGTAATTAGAAACTTGTGAATAACGGTACGTAATTTGTAGGTAGCGACTCCGTCTCGAATTGACTTGTGTTGTGACACCAGTTTTCTTAGATTCGGGTCTTGAATAATACTTTGTTACAACTAAAACACATTTGTCGAATGACTACGCTGTCATTAAATAAAAAAAATTAAGCCCTGTTTTATAAGGCGTTCATGATTTTATACTTTTTAAGCAAATGCATTCATTTTACTTCTTGATTTTTCTTTTGTCGAACCGAATAGAAGGTGCAGATTTTTTATTTATGGCGCGAATGTAGTTTCCCACACAACGCACCGTTGTTCGTATCCGATACAAGCACAATCGATATAAAGTGTAAAATAAAGCGGTGCAAAACTTGCCGCTAGGCCACATTCTAAGCAATGTCCCTAATGACTGTAATCAAGCTTTATCACATTTCTTGAGCTTTACTGCAAATGAATTAGTCTAGGCGAGTTGAACAATACTCACCGCCACTGCCGTCCGGAAGAGCATACAATACCCCGCAGAGTGCAGCAGAAACGGCTTCAGTATTTTGTACTGTACATTCATTCGATTCAATTTGAGCTGGTTCAAACAGAGCAAAATCCAGACCATCCATATCACTACGTGTCGATACCCCATCGTCTTCGGTTACCCGATGGCAAAAGTTTTCTGGTGAATCGACCTCTTTAGGACTACGGCTACAGACTCCGTCGCTAAGGGGATCGCAACAGCACGTGTCCGAAAATGGCTCAAAGTCTCTGCAGTCAAATTCGCATCTCTCGAAGCTGTCACAGGTGCACGATGACAAAGCATCATCCGAATCGGAGCCATCGACCACAAAAACATTATTACTCTGTACAACTTCTTTGTCGTTTTTCGTGGATATATAGAAAACACTAGAAGTATATGGCACTTTTTGGAGTTTTAGAGAGACGCTATCCGATTTCTTAGTTAGGTATTGACGTGCAGGCTGTTCTGGGATTAAATCATCGATCTGGGTACGACAATCTTCATATCGAGCGAAACTCGAAGTGTCTGTTAAATTTGACGATCGATCGACAGAGTATACATCAGCGTAAGGATCCGTTGAATCAATTTGTTGTCGGTAAGGTGCGAGCTGTGAGCGAGTCCCATGAAAAATGGTGGTGTAGGGGCAAGTGTGGAGCGGACGCGTACGGTCCGCACGCCGAGGATAGCTGGCTGCCAGGGGATCCCTGATCGTAGGACCTTCGTGATTGATATACGCCTCGCTCGTCGACAAAACGTTGTACCGCCAGTCCGGCATGGCTGACAGCGACCATACTAAGCGTACACGCTACAGGTTTTCACTCATCGCTTACTACAAAGGCACTCAGTTATTGTATGTATTATATTTAGTGGATTAACTATGGCACACTCATCATGGATTGTGCAGATAAAGGAATTGTTTCACTACAGTCGGCATCAACATCTGTTCAAATACTGCAATTCGTGTTATTTTACAATACCGCTTGCTATTTTATCAAACATTCTCGAAACTTAAAGAATTCTGTTTGTTAGTTTTCCTATGTATTATTTATTACTAAACTATATGTTACTTTTATAACAACAATGAAATATTCAGAATTAAACTAACTAACTAAGATATATCAGCAGAACAGCACAGAAGATCCCAAGGTTCGTAGTGTGGACAATTGTTTGCCCAGCCCCAAAAACCCAAGATAAGATAACAAATATCTAATTTAATTTTGTTCGATAAAACACAAAATGAAACTTAAAAGCCCCAAACAAGCAATCGAAATACCATGTTTATATCAGACTGAAGTTGTTGTAATGATTACGTTCACTCAACTTAATTGCAATGTGGTTCGTATAATCGAAATTCTATCAAGTGTACCGGATGTACTAGACTGGTTGTATATATATCTGACTGTAACAGAACTAGCATGTTACGGTATTGCGTTAAGTGAGCTCTCCGTTACATTCAAATCATTTCAACTCGACGTAATGAGAAGATTTTCTTTTATAGCGCTTACTACGACGATGTTTTTGATATACACGAACTAAGCTGTTTGGGATAATTGAATTTAAATATAATATCTACAAATGTGTTTTTCCCGAATCAACTAACAAACACTTAGGTCAGAGTTTCTTAAATCATAACTAGTCAATCTATTAGTCCAAAAAGCGGAAAAACGAGTATAATTCTTTGCAATCATCCTACTTAACATTCCCCTTAAAGTCCTACCTTAAACTCCGGAATGGATAGATAATATCTACGCTATCATAAAAGTTATAAAATTAAAATTTCTAAAGAACCGTGAAAGTAGTGAGAAAACAAGTATGTTACTATTAGGGTGGACGTGAATAAATGCTTAAAAGGTCGATGGCTGTAAGTCGTGCTTAGGAAACGCAATTATTTTGTAAGTACTTCGAGATTGTTACAGCGACCGTGATAATGGCGATGCGGTATCGTGACCACTTCTTTATTGTAATAGGATTGTTGAAAAAAATTATACGTTTTTAAGTGGAAAAGAAAAACGAAATTGTACATTAAAATTTACTGTCGTTATGAGATCAGGTTTAAATACTTTTACTGACGAAATTAATGAATATATTCCTTATATTTTTTAATAGCTAAGAAAGGCAGATGACCTATGTCCGTCTGATGTTGAACTGAGCACTGGGGCCCAACGTCATACAGTGCACACCGCTGCTAGCTTATATTCGTCCTTCTATGGTTATTGTAAAATGACGACGATGACTTCAGAAGGTAATCCAAAAAATCAATTGAATTTAAAATTCAAATACTGTTTTATTGAATCGAATTATTTGAAAACCAACCGTTTATCTTAGAACATACTATCGCAAGTAATAAGAGTACATGGATCGGTAATATTATCTACGTACTTATTATATTAAAACATACTTGCTTATAAACCGATATACCTAATAGACTGACAATCTTCATTGTTTACGGGATATAATCGTAGAAAGAAACTTTCTCCACAAAAAAATAAATCGTTTAGTAATATCGAACAATAAATAAATATGAGTAAAAGTGAATACGACCTGATTTTTCACTACTATCGAACAGGTGAGCGTGCCGGTAAAACGATAGTTATTACGTACAGATCTAAGAATAAAGTTTTAGTTATTGAGGCATAAAAACGCTAGTGAGGACCGGTACATAACGTAAAAAATTGATGCATAAAAATTAAGACTCTCGATCGGTTTACGAGATTATGTTCATATTATATTTAACGGTGTATATCTATTTATTGTATGTACGTATTTTCTTTAATAATGTATTATTAATGGTACACCGTAACATACCTGCTATATATTTATATTTTCCAGAATTTCTGTTAATTAAACGGTCGTCTGGAAGAAATCGCTTTTAGCGATAAGACCGCCTATTGTACAAATATATCTGCTTGTTGACTGTTTTCTAATGTTAATTGTGTTTCGGTGTGCAATAAAGTATGTTCTCTTACTCTATGTTGTTGATTTCATTTTTCTCAATGTTGATTAAGGATTAGCGTATACAGTAGAATATACAACGACTTCGCTTATAACGACTAACCGCTTTTAACGACGATAATGATTACTCAAGTTAGGTTTCATAGATAAGTACTGAGAAAATATAACCGTTTAGTGCGACTCCGTTTTAAGCGACCAACTGCTTATAGCGACCCTTAATTATGAATATTATGATGATACGTCCGGTTAAAACGACGCACAATGTTTTATTTACATAACCTACCAATACCTCGGCGCCCCAACTTCACCCCGCCCCCTTTATTGGCGCGTGAATCAAAGTTAGTGCTTGTCACTTGTTATGACAAGTTCTTAAAGCTCGACAAAATGAGTTTTATGAAGCGAAAGTGTTTTACAATTGAAGAATAATGTGCAATATGACACCGATTAGAAGCCGGTGATCAAATGCAACCCTCGCAAAGGAGTTTGGTGTATCTCATTCTATAATATCAACAATAAAGAAAAATAAAGATAAGATCACGCCGCTGCTTAGTGCCAATGTTTTAAAATACAAACGTGTAAAGACTTCTACTCATGATTCGGTGGATAAGGCATTGTTACAGTGGTTCAAGCTTCAGCGCGACTGGGGAATACCCGTGAATTTACCCTCTGCTACAAGAGAAAGCAATTTTTCGCTATACAGTTAGATATGCAAAATTTTACATGCTCCATGAGTTGGATAAATATATGTACTTAAGAAATAATTCTGCCGTTTTGTACGTCATCCGGTTAGTACGACATAGTTTCGCCGGTCCCTTGAAAGTCGTTATATCCGGATTCTACTGTATATTGAAATAGTTACTTTGACAGACAAGAAATTAGAAAAAGAGAAAGAGAGAGCAACATTTCCGATTATTTTTACGTAACACTTTGAATGTTCACAAATTCTACAAATTCGTGAATTAATGGAACGCGGCGAAGACGCGTGCCGCATTAGACCATCGATGTGATCTACGACAAAAACACGGGTGAACCACGGTCAACGAACGAATATAACTATTTACTGGCACCCGTCTATCTACTAACAAAAATAGTTTAAGTGCGAATAGTCTTAATATAAATCTAGAACTAAATCTTAATGCAATTGATTGAAATAATAGTGATGTCACTTATCGACTTCACATCAAATATGGTTTGTAAATATTTATTAAGTAAACGTACGTTTGTAATTTACTTTATTTACCTACTTACTAAACAAATTAACCAGAAATTAAAGTGAATTCTCATTAGATTATTTTTACTAATAGTAAAATGGCCATGCTTAATTGTTATAATATTAAATTATTATTAACTCATTTTAGTTTACAATGACTAAAATATGACTTTATTGTGTAAAAGGTGTTATTTAAGGTGCCTTCTATACATTCTTTTACCAAACCCAACTAATTATGGATGCGTTGCATGATTTAATATGCCAATTCGCATTCCAAACGTTACAGCGTTGTCAAACAAGTTTATTTCTATAATAATTATCTAAGATTTTAAATCACGGAAACTTTGTTACAGCCAATAAAATAGTCTTCAAAATAAACAAAAACATTCCATTACCTACCAACAGGGTCTAAGCGAATGAAAAATTATGATCCGAAATACGATTATAATCTTTTTTATTAATAATACTATATTTAATCATGCCTACAACTCATTACCATTTTATTTAATTTATTCAATTTTGGTGTACTTTTTTTAAAATAAATCCTACAAATACTTACTTTATTTTAAATGAGATATTTTAAAGGGAAAATGCTATGGTCAGCGTTATTACATTATCTGTTATTCACCGCTGAACGTAAACCTTTTCTATGTATTATTATTTCCAGGCTGGTTTCAAAAATGTGATTATTATTATACTTAGGAAAATAATAACATGTTATAATTCGTATTTCGTGTTAAGTTTCAACTACTAATTCATTTATGTTTTTAAATCAGGGTAATAGTTTATTACTTGCAAAGGCATATAGAATTCACCTTCACACTAGACGGAACCTCACAAACAATATTGCATTGTATGGAACCAAATAGCCAAAGGATACCTGATATGAAATTTAATATGGAAAGTTGACTGTTACCTATATCGAGCAAGTCTCCAGAGAGGATTGTTCGTGGTGAATTTATTACTGGACGATAAGAACAGACTAGAAATGGCAGGTTTATGTTTTCAATGTATTGGCAAACGAAGTCGTGGCCATCGAGATATTATGTACTTCGTGGCCCACCTAGTGTTCAGTAGTTACGGGCTATAGAATTGCATATAACTGTGCAGGTTGGATTGATTAAACAATGTTGATTTTGATGTTCGTGATTTTTTCTGTGAATTATTTACGTGAATGAAGAAGGTGTGTATCCTAGGGAATTAGGTACGAGTATACTAAGTGCTTTGGTCTAGTCCAATATGTTACAGAAGCCTCATGTTGGCATCCAACGTGCATCCTTGGAACGGAGATCGATATTGTGCCTCAGCCACTAATCTTCTGACTAATGCCGTGAAGTACTACTGCGAGACATTTTACTGACTGATGAAGAAACACTTTTAGTCTTCGCTAAATTTATTAACATTTATCAATGAACTTACACAGTATTTTTCGTGTATCTCAGTATTTGTATTATCTACATTAACCACCGACCCAATTGATTGTAGTAAGTAGTTTCCGGAATATTTAAAATGCGATTTTGTAAAAAAATATTCATAATTATTTACGAAAAGTTTAAACATTGACTATACAAAACGTAATGAAGATATGCATAGATCATGCTCCTTAAATCTACATATTTTAGTTTTGCCTAAATATTTAAAACGGTCAATAATTGCCTTGAAATTGACGTCATAAAGCCAATGAACGTAATTATTCAAATTCGAAACAAATCATTCATAAATGAACTCGAATCCTCCTCCTATCCCGTTTATCGCCATGAATTTATAACGTTATAGTTTGCCGACCGTAGTAAACAATCCTGCATCACTGAACTTGACACTAACAAGGCACAACGTTAGTCACTTTCCGATTGAGACCGTCAGGCGTAAAGTGACGGTTACATTCGAATGTTTCGATTAAATTCGTTTCGATCGCGCTACGTAGAGGTGCGCGTGCCGGATCGCGCTCGGAGCGACTGGGACTGGATCGAGTTGCCGCAGCGCGCTCGGTGACCGTGCTCCTCGGGACCCGCTCATCTCTCCGCAGATGTGTGCTTAGTGCGAGTTTTTTAACGTTCTCGATAGCGTAAAAGTTAACCCAGTTTTGTATGTAATTTTTTTTTATTCCTGAGATGTGTGGACGATCTCACGGCCCACCTGGTGTAAAGTGGTTACTGGAGCCCATAGACATCTACAACGTAAATGCGCCACCCACCTTGAGATATAAGTACTAAGGTCTCAGTATAGTTACAATGGCTGCCCCGCCCTTCAAACCGAAACGCATTACTGCTTCACGGCAGAAATAGGTAGGGTGGTGGTACCTACCCGTGCGGACTCACAAGAGGTCCCACCAGGAATTACGCAAATTATAATTTTGCGGATTTGATTTTTATTTAGTTGGAACAGCGCCCCTAGCGGCAAACTTAGGTAAACGATTCTATACAAATATGAGCTAACTTTTACGCTATCGAGAACGTTAAAAACCTCGCACTAAGCTAAGCACACTGGTCTCTACGCTCGCTCATCAAACAACACACGGACCGTTATCGCTCGCAGGGGACACCGATGTCACAAACAAATCCCGCTCCATATTCATGAGCCCCGTGCATCACACGCGCAACAAAGAAATTTACTATAGAAACTTTAACTACGATAGTGCGCTTGTCGTCACGTCCTTTAGGGGAACCAGTTTCCGAGCCTACACAAACAAAGGTGACAACTAAACAGGGGCAGGGAGTTGTCACTTTTATTTATTTTTTCAGTGAAAAGGGTGGTCGAGATAAAACTTAAAATCGGAAGGGTGGGTTGCGCGTAAAATGCTCGAATGTAACGAAATACAGATTAAGTTATTAATAACCCATTCGAATATTTACGACTAGTTATTGTTGATTTTTAATTTGCAGATCTATACCACATGAGTTGTCTATTATCAAAGGTGGCAATCTGTGCATTTGGACAAAAAAATGTTATTGATATGTCAATACAGACTGATTTGAATATAATCGTCTCCTTCAAAGAATACGGTTCAAAACCTGCATTAAATAAAGGTTAATACTTAACCTGTTATTTATCTAAGATTTCGTTCAGAAGAGTTTTGTGACTGCCAATGGAATACAAAGTCAATAATTCGTTTTTCTGATTTACCAATAATTGTCCAAAAGTCACATTGCCGGCTTTGATAATAGTCGACTCACATATAAGACATACATACATAGGGTAAACAATATATTGTTAGCTACACGTTAACTAGACGATCAGGTAAAATTACTGGCACTAAAACAGTCACTCGAATTATAAACTGGTAGTTGAACACTAAATGAATATCCTGCTGGTTTTAATTACAAGCGTACACTACATTTGTTATTGTACTATTATTAATTGATTCGAAATAGATCCTCTTGTTTTCCTCTGCTTTGGTAATTGACACAGTAACATAAACGTTACAAAAGTGAATTAACAAGGATTGAATTTTCATACAAAAATGGTTATGGACTCAATAAACTTAATCACCACGTCGACACAATTACGTCAACTATTTAGTTAGGCCAAGCATTTTTTTTAAGATTTGAGATCAAAGTTTTAATTACTAAGGAGAGCTGTTTAAAATAACAATAATAATACATATATTTATTTATTAAACTAAACAGGGCTCATTATAGTATAATCTATACTATTATTATAAAGAGGAAAGATTTGTTTGTTTGTTTGTATTGAATAGGCTCCGAAACTAACTGATTTGAATAATTCTTTCACTGTTTGGAAGTTACACTATTCCCGAGTGACATAGGCTATAATATTTTTTGAAAAAAATTAGGGATCCTTATTAAAACTCCAATAATGTAACCCAAGGTGTAAAAAAATTACCTAAAATAATGATAGAATAAAATAATGTACTAAGACTTTGTAGAACACATTATTAATTACAAAAAGTGTCACGACAGCATATGTCTAACTATTGTAATTATGCCGCAATAAGTGTTATTTTATTTTAAAAAATAAAACGTCGAAATTTTTGTTAAAGACCCGAGCGGAGCCGGAGCGGGCCACTAATAGTTTACTATTTACCTAAATTCTCATAGTAACGACGCCATTCAATTCCAATACACAGATCCAACAGTAACTTTTACCGTAGCCACGTTAGACGACATATTATGATAATCATAATCATAAAGAGACAACGCGAGTTCCATTTTATTCTCAAGCCCTTATTGAAATTGTGCAAGGAAACTGTATTGTGTTGCTTAATAGAGCGTAATTGAAAAGCCAAAGGTTGCTTATCTTGGGCCATTATGGCCCGTAATGATTACTGACACATTATATAGCGCGGAGTCCGTACGCCTCGTTCTCATTGCACTACATTTACTAATTGCGCAATACTCGTTCAGATAATCGGCAACACCACGAGGACGTTGCGAAGCAAGTTTACGAAAAGTCACTTAATTAAATGTTAACGATGTGATCAAAATTTAACCAGTGTTTAAAACGGGTCATCCTAACGTAAGTTATCTATCGTCTTGGGTATTTTATCTCTTTAAATATTGATTATAAGTTAGCAAAGCAATGGATTGAAGCAAGTTAGCGTTGAAAAGTAAATTGACATTATCACATCAGGTGATCTTATTGATAACAGATAGTAATCTGACTTTATCTGACTATAGGGCTTATTCAGAATATAGTTAAAAAATGACAATAACACTATTGAATAACAATCCAAAATTGAAATCAAAATGTTTTTATTTATTCTGGTCGAACGGCTATCCAAAGTAATAAAGTTATCGTGGGCGCGTGTGCAAGCTTCTAAGTTCATCAGAAGTCATAAAATTCGTGAAAATAACGTTGAAAGACTATATCGACACTTGCAAAGAATAAATTGTAACTCATGTTTAGCTAAAACTTAGTTACCATGTTATTCTTTGCACCTGTCGATATTACATTAATAGATACAGCTAAAAACCTGTTACCATAGCGGTACTTAGCCTAGTCAATCTAATATTAATAGTGCTATTCTGTTTACCTTTCTTTTCCTTCAGGCAGAAGGCTGAAACTTATGCGAGGACTCCGTATCTGCCACTAGGGGGCGCGTGGGGTATGTAGGACTTGATGGTCTGTAGAATGTTGGGAGTGGACCCGTGGCGCAAAGATGTTTTGGCCCCTATCCCCAAGCGACTCCCCTTGCAATCTCTCACCGGATAGCCGATCTGCACCCGAGGTTAAAACTCGGGCAGAGTAGGAGGCTCCCGCGGTTACTACAGTACCCTTACACTAACACTACACTACCCCTAGCTACCCCTAAGACGCCGCGAGTTTAGTTGTTGACCGATGGGTTGTCGAGGCGATAGTCGACGATTGTACGTCTAGGAGCTCATGTTGATTGACCTGACGTTGATTGTTTACTGGAGCCTATAGACATTACCAAGTGAACGTAGTAGTGGTGGTAGGACCTCTTGTGAGTCCGCACGAGTAGGTACCACCACCCTGCCTATTACTGCCGTGAAGCAGTAATGCGTTTCGGTTTGAAGAGTGGGGCAGCCGTTGTAACTATACTGAGACCTTAGAACTCATATCTCAAGGTGGGTGGCTGCAATTACGTTGTAAATGTCTATGAGCTCCGGTAACCACTTAACATCAGGTGGGCCGTGAGATCGTCCACACATCTCAGCAATAAAACATAAAAAAACACTTGACTTGACTGACACTTGAATATACTGAGACCTTAGAACTATATCTCAAGGCGTGTGGCGCATTTACGTTGTAGATGTCTATGGGCTCCAGTAACCACTTAACATCAGGTGGGCTGTGAGCTCGTCCACACAACTAAGCAAAAAAAAAATTAAAAAAAAACTTGAGATTGAGATCGAACTCTTAATATTATTGCATAGCGACTCTCCCACCCTACAAACATATGATTACTTCACGACGGAAACAGACAAAAAGGTACCTTTCTACACTCACTTTCAATACCATCAGTGAAGAACTCAAAACCCTAAATAAAAATATCTTTCACATACATATCGACGCTTGAAAGCCAACGTGACTAAGCGACAATGCGTGAACTTTACAGTAGACTAATTTAAAGTTGAAATACACGAAAACAAAATTTATTTTAACGAATCTAGCTGTAGTAGAATCTAGCTAGTAGCTGTAGGATTGAAATGATTTTAATAGACCTAGAAATAAATTTTTTTGGTGCATCGAATATGCCTATCATTTAGGCCTATCAGTTATTGCCTATCATTTATGTACAAAGCAGTTATTGTCGCTAAGTCACGTTTGCCTTTCAAGCGTCGATATTTACCTTGATCGGAAATTGAACTCGGACACGGCGGTTTAGTAGTAAAATTCACTAACGAACAAGGCGATCGGAGAGACAACAGAAAACCTATTGAGCTATGAATTTAAGAGAACACTGTACAAAGTAATTAGTAATGTAAAGATATCCTAAAAATGCTATAATGTAAATAACAAAATCGTCTTTTTTTTTTTTGGAATAAAGATAACAACACTGAAAAAATTAATTCCCCCGATTAAACTAAGAAATATAGCTACAAGTAGTATAATAAAGTAGCGGGAGTAATTTCCCGGATAAGAAAGAAAGGTGAAGTATGAACGTGTAGTATGAAGCGTGAAAGTGCGAGAGGCATAAATGCGAGAACTGGTATGAATGAGAAAATACAGACCAATAAGATCCCGTTGAGCCTATGAACGGGGAAAGGCAGAAAAAAAAATAACTATAGACCTAACATGTACAGTTAACAACCATACCTTACTATAATTTCCAAGGAACACAATAAATACCCAACTGTCAATCTTGAGAATTCGAACGCAATAAATAGATAACTAAAATACAATCACTCACCCAAACAATAAATTACTTCAAAACACATTAATAGATCAGAAAAGTTTGTTTATCAAAAATAATTTAACGAGGCCACTCGATAATTCACTGTAGTCCGAGTCAAAC